GGAAAAAAAAAGAAAAGTAGAGAGTGCTGGCCACGGTCGCAACCAAGCGGTTAGCGGAGCCGAGAGAGTAAAAAATAAATTACCTCCTTCCCATCCCCTCTACGGACCCCCCCCTCCTCTCCCACCGCCCTTCCCAAACCAGCGCTGCGTGCCGTGGGACTACTGCTGTGGCATTGTTCTTCAATCTATATTCCCTGACCACCTAAAGGTAGCACATGTCCTGTCTCTCAAGAGTGACCTCCTCTGCTAAGGGCAATGCATCACTATCGCGCCAAAAAAACAAAACAGAAATCGAAGACCAAAAATGGGAAAAGAAAAACGTACAGGAAGAAGCGAGCGCCCAGCGGCCCAGCGCACAGGTCATGGAAGGAGAGCAATGAAAAAACAGAAAAACTCAAGTGGTGACGGTGAATAAGTCACCATCGAAGGGAATTAGGACAAAAAACGATTGTGGCAAGCCTCTTCCCGAGCTACAACAGTCGGCGCTTTTTATCGCCACAGGACGTCGCCCGACATTCCTCCTACCAACACGCTTTCGCCGTGCCTCCCGCCAACAAGGCTAAGGCGCTGCCGCGCCGTACTGTGGCAGGCAAGAAAGGCGCTTCGCACCACCGCCTGTCCCACCTCACGGACTGTATCCGGGGCCGAGGGTAATACCAGTGGCAAAAGTTCTTCTAAGGGGGGACAACGCGACCCGATTCAAGCTTAGAAAAAGACGGTACAGCATTTGCCACAAAACACGGGGAATAAACAAACAAGAAGACACTCACTAGCACGTGAAGAGTTGGAAAAATAGCCCGATATCTCGAGCTCAAAATCCGATTCGTTTGTCACAACAGACACCACCTCTTTCAGCGAGCCAGAAACTAAGTTAATAACTTCACTCTCGATATCGAAAAAAAACGATATATAATTTATCATGTGCTCTGTCGATACGAAGCCGAGCGTGCGCGACCCCCCCCCCCCCCCCCCCCCCCCCCCCCCCCCCCCCCCCCCCCCCCCCCCCCCCCCCCCCCCCCCCCCCCCCCCCCC